AAAAAAAAAAAAATGTCCTTTGATTGTACAGTGAAAGTAGTTGAGGTACACCCCAACTACTTTAAACTGTCAGCTTAATCATCTCCTAAAAATGAGTACAATTATTTTGTTCTATTTTGAATTATTTCACTAATACTTAGATGGGAAAATTCACAAGAATCATAATATATCGCATTAGATATAAATCTTTGTATATATCAAAATGAGTAAATAAAATCGACGATGTCGACGAGCAGCAGCAAGTTTCAATAGCTCATCCGCTTCGAAAAAATTGGTAAACCACTGGTTCAGGGGATGATTTTTAGTGTCACCACTGTTCTTATTCTCAAGATTGTCAACTGGCACACATATACATACATAATCAGTCGGGCACTGCAACAATAGTAAAATACACGGGGAAGAAAACATAATGAAATACCCATAATTAGGGCTGTAAACGAACCGAGAGGCTCGCGAGCGCTCGAGTCAAAGCTTGGCTTGAGATGAAATTATTAAAATGTGATATACCCTTTAGAATTTTGGATTGAGCAGTTTTAGGTGCAAGAGTCTTAATGTGGTGGCTAGCAAGTAGCAAAATTCAAATTATAAGCAAAAAGCACATGAATTTTGGGAAAATGCTACAATCTCGCCACGGAATGATTCCGTGTAAAAACCCTCATTGTAGCCTTTTAGGTCGTCCGACAGTTCTCGCGGTAGCCTTCTCGAATCTATACGGTACGCATTTTCTTCTGAAATATCTATATAACAGTTACAAAACTAATACTTGAAATTAGACAAACACTTTCTATAAATGGCTTTTGCTGAAAAATTGGTGTAACTTTTCATATAGATTCACAACACTTTCTATAAATCATTGGTACATCTCTTTACCAGTGGCTAGAACACGATCTTATCGGTGTATCTTACCCACGTAATGTGACCATGTCACAACCTTAGGCTTTTGCCTCCTCTCATGTACCAAAAAAAAAAAAAAAAAATTACAAAAAAGTGTCCTAAAAAAAGAAAAAGAAAAAAGAAGATATTATATACAAATCACACTCAGCTCATATGCGAGAGGTTAGATCAACAAACAAATCCTCACTGCACGGAATTGTAAGGCCTCCCATTGGATGATAAAACCCGAATTCTTCTTCAGCTTGGAGTAGCAATACTTGGAACAAAGGATGGTTCAAATGCGAAACCGGAATAACGAATCTCTTCTTCTCGTTTTCCCCAACATAAACCGCAAAATGGCCCTTTGGGACCTCAAATGATCTTTTCTCGATGGATAAAGTTCGTCTCAGCATTTTACGGATAGCCATTTTACGTATACAATATTAAGCCAAAATCTCTTATGAGTGAAAATTGAAAATTTTCTGGAAAGTAAATCAATGCAGAGAAGCTTAAATATGGTTTCTGAGGATTTTTTTTGTTTCCCTTGGTGTCGTTCGAAATAAAAAAGACGAGCGGTATATTTATAGAGGTTTATTGAAAGATAATATGCATGGAAGAACCATGAAGAATCACATGCACTTGTCTTTAGGACTTCATTTAGAATTTAAGACAAATCAACAATTTGTGTGATGGAAAAAAGTTGTATCCTACCAACTATAGCAACATAGCCTTCAAATGACCCAACTGCAATAAAACATGATATTCATTATCATTATCTGGCAAAAAAACAACTAGCAACTAAGAGATCACATGGATTTGTCGAATACAATTCATCGTAACATAATTATATACTTATATACTTTCCAGCTAACACAGAACCGTAAAGATTATGTACCATAAATCAAAGGATTATATACAGATGTATGGGCCTGTTATTAGGTTACACGTCGTTATCCGAGGGTTTCAAGATGACCAAATCGAGACGCTAAATCGAAACATAAGCACATGAAGAAATCACAAGGACTTGCAGAAAACGAAAAGCACATGAACAATCACAAGGACTTACTTTTCAAGTATTGATAAAAATTTCAAAAGAAAAAAAAAAGAAGAAAAATAATTACAGCCACTGCTTATCATTTTGCAACCATAACCACTCAATCTATATGCTAAAGGATTATGATACTCCTCAAGCTTATCTATATATATATATACGCACACACAAACACATTTCTAAACTCACAAACAACATTAACAACAAATCTTCGAAATTCCCAAATCCTTTCATTTGTTTCACAAAAATAATCCACATACTCATTCATTTATTCTCGTTTTAAGCTTTAGTTACTACTTTTAACAAATCCAATGGCCATTCAACGCATGCTTAGACGCTCTTTATCATCCGAGAAAAGATCGAACGAAAAGGGAGTCGAAGTCCCAAAAGGACACTTTGCTGTTTATGTTGGGGAAAATATTGACGAGAAGAAGAGATTTGTTATTCCGGTTTCGTATTTGAACCATCCTTCGTTTCAAGAGTTGCTTGTTCAAGCCGAAGAAGAATTTGGTTTCGATCATCCTATGGGAGGCCTAACTATTCCGTGCAGTGAAGATTTGTTCGTTGATCTTACATCCCATTTGAGGAAAATGAGATTAAATAGGTCTTAGAATAGTAAACAACTTTGTTATTAGCTTTTAGTTTTAGGACAGATTATCGTGTGTGTGTGTGTGTGTGTTTGCTTACAAAATAATATCAAATTAGTTCTGAACATTTTAGTATGCACAGTGCCATTTTCAAAATTTGAGACTTACCAAGTGGTTAACACTAAACAGAAAAAATGGTAACAACACTTGAACAGAAAATGCATTCTAATTGTGCAAGTCCATAGATAATTTTTACTCAACATTTCAAAAACAGATTATATAGTTTTTTGCACCATAAAATGGCTCAGTAAACTTTTCATGTATTCATCTAACTCGAGCGAGAGAGAGTTAACGATCAATGAATAAATCCTCGCTGCAAGAAATTGTGAAAACCCGAATTCTTCTTCAACTCGGCATAAAAAATCTTGAAACAAAAGAGTGGTTCAAATACGAAACCGGAATCACAAACCGCTTCTTTTCATTTTCACCAACATAAACAGCAAAATGTCCCTTCCGGACTTCTTTCCCGTTGAGTATGGTCCTTTTTTTTCGGATGAAAAAGACCGTCTAAGCATTTTTCTTTTAAGTTAATACCGTCTAAGCATTTGACATATAGCCATGACTGTATTAACATAAGTCTTTCTGCGAAAAAAGATCGATTAAATTTTTGAAAGTTTTTGCGAAACGAGTGACAACTTGATAGGCTAAAATTTGTCTGAAGGCTATGTTTCTCTGTTTTTTCAGCTAAGAAATGAGAAATGAGTGACTGTATTTGTTGTATATTATTTGATTTTTTATTTGTTTATTTTTGGCAGTTGATAACTTGAGAAAACATAAACACATGAGAGACCACATGCATTTTTTCTTTCAATTATTTACAGAGATTTTTTTGAAGCACCACAATGGATAGAACGACAATAGTCCCTACCAGTTATCTAAACATATATACCACCAAAACAAAACTACCTTACATACAGAAATCAATCAATTTGATACATGAAGACAGGGCAGTTCACACGTCTAGCTAGAATCAGTGTTCTAGGTGCCCGCTAGGCGCTGCTTGACCAGCGCCTAGAGCGCCTAGTCGGGACCTAGAAAATTAATATTAAATACCTTATTTTTTATTTATTTTAACTAGCTACAAAATAAAATTATCTCAACTTATAATAAATCCACATAAACTATGTCCAAATACTAATATTAATATATTATAAAGAAAACATGCGAACAAAATAATGTAATTAGTATTTAAAAAAAAAAAACTGAAAAATTGCTGCCGATTCCGCCTTAGGCGGACCTAGGCGCCGCCTAACTGCTTGGCCACCGAGCCCGCCAAATCCGTCTAGGTCCGCCTAGCCGCGTGGCCGATTTTTTCGGCTGATTTGTGCAAATCGAAGGCGGCCGGGCAATGCCTAGCGCGTAAGCGTCGCCTAGGCCGATTTTTAAAACATTGCCTAGAATATTAAAGAAAATGGGACTGCAAATGCAAATAACCTCCAATCAT